CTAGCTAGGTGAAAGTGACTTGATATTCTTCAAAGAAGGTCTTATATATTCAAACCTTGTACATATTGAAAGTTAAGAGAATTATCTTTAATTGTGATCAACTATAAATGTTCAATTTTTTATGAGAGAATGATAGTTAAATTTCAAAAAATTGAATTAATGATAGTTAGGTTCTTGATAAATTTTTTAAAAAATTAATCATGAATATCAATTTAAACAATTACAAATAGAAATTCATATTATAATTTAAGAGTTATATTTGATGTTTAAATATTTATTTGTAATTAAAACTCCTGTATTCAACTTATTTTAAAAAAATTGACAAAGACTTAGTTATAATTCAATATTTTGAGATCTAATTATCATTCACCTAATTTTTTTCAATCTTCAACAAAGCCACTCAAAGTTTCATTAACTAAAGGAGAGGTCCAAGAAGTGTTTTTTTTTTTTTTAAATCACCCTTGAGATACAAAAGTTTTATATGTTTTAACATGAATCAACTGTTACCTTTACCATTTTTCACCAACTTTATATTAAAAAAGTATTAAAAGAAAAACAAAGCCAGCAAGAGTCATAATTAGCCAAAGGCAAGGAAAATATTTCCAACTTTCATTATATGATACCTTCTAAATAGATTTATTTTATTCTTGATATAAAGCACTTGATGTAGTATTAATTATATTTTGTTTAATATTACCTATATTTAAAATCATTAATTTTGAGAGAGAACATAATATAAATTTAAAAAATTTTCATTTAAATAAGAGTAAAATTACAAGTTAATTATATTTTCAAACAAAGTTAAAAACTTAATCAGTTCTTCTTGCTTTCAATGAATAGGTAAAGATGCTTTATAATAAGAATTTAATAGAGTATACAAAAAAAATCACAACCAATACCTTCCATGTCCCTTATGGTAGTGGGATGCGGATGATCAAGAAAAAACTATTCATGCTCAAATTGAAATTAGTTCTTTTTATCTAAAAATTGATATTAATTAATACTCTCTTCATTCCAAATTATAAAATATTTTTAGAGAAGATTTAGCGTTTCAAAATATAAGATATTTTGATAAAAATAAGGTTTCATTAATGATAGTTTTTCAATATTACTCTTCCCATATATTCTCTCTCTTTAATATTCTTTCGTTAATGGAGTATTAAATGAAAAGTATTTTTAAAAGTTTATATTTTTGTCTTGAAAAAGTAAAGTTATAAAGTATATTTAATGAGCTTTATTAATATGTAAGATTTTATTTAAAAGTGTCTTATAATTTAGGATGGAGGGAGTACTACATAATATTACAAGTTAAACCTATCACTAACAAAGGTGCTACTAATACCTTTCGATAGAGCTAGTAATTTGAACAGATCAGGTTCAATTTGGACTAGACTTATTTGGATCAAATTTAAAACATCCAAACATATTTAAAAAAAAAAGAAGCCCATATAATTTGAACTAGGCTTATTTGAACCTTGCTCTAACACCTTGGACTTATTCAGGATGATCTAAATATTCTAATTATTAAATTTTATTTTATTTTATTGTTTTCTTTTTAGCTAATTTTAATTTTTATCTTAAAAATTAAGATTTTCATTTTTTTATCTTATGTTAACTTTATTTTATTAATAATAACAATAAAAATTCAAATATTCAAACTATGGCCATTTTAGTGTGAGATTAGTTCAGATTGCTTTGGACTTAATATGTTTGGACTGCAAGAAAGCCTTTTTAAAAATGGGTTCTTTTTGACTTACAGAAGTGAAACAGCTCAAGTGAGTCTCACCATTTTTTCTTAATTTCCCCCAAAATTAAAGAAAGATTCGAGTTAGTAAAAGGTGGAGGAAGAAAGAACGAGATCTGAAAGTGAGCATGAAAAAAATGTTGATAACACTGTGGATCCAGCTAGGAAAAATTGACTTGATATTCTTATATTCAAACCTTGTATCCATTGAAAATCAAGAGAGTTATCTTTCATTGCAATTAGCTATAAATCTTCAAATTTTTTTTGGGAGAATAATATGCAATTAGGTCCTGACAAAATTTTTAAAAAATTAATTATAAACATAAAAAATTAGTTACAAACAAAAATTCTTGTTATAATCTAAATTACATTTGATACTTAAATACTTATTTAAAATTGAAACTTTTAAATTTTTAATTATTTGGATTAATATTTTCAACTTATTTTAAAAAAAATATTGAAGATTTAACTATCATTGATTTAATATTTTGAAACCCAATTATTCTTGTTTAAATTTTTTTCCACCTCCAGCAAAGCCAGGCGAAGATTCATTAACTAAAGGAAAGGTCCAAAGATGTTTTTTTTTTTTTTTTACACATTCTTAGGATATTTTATTTGTTCTAACTTGAATTAAGTGTTACCTCTACACAGTTTTCTTAGACTTATAATACAAAAAAACAGAGGCAAGAATCATTAGCCAAAGGCCAGAAAAAATATATCTAGCCTTTATTATATGATGCATTCTGAAATGATTATTTAATTCTTAATATAAGTCTCTTAATGAAATATTAATTATATTTTTTTAATATTACTCCTATTTAAATTCATTAACTTTGAAAGAGAATGTAATGTAAATTAAAAAAAATATTAAAATAAGGGTAAAATTGCAAGTTTATTATATTTTAGACAAAGTTAAATAACTTAATCACTTCTCTTTACTTTTAGTAAATAATTAGAGGTACTTTATAATAAAAATTGAATAGAGTACACATAAAACTGTCATAATACCTTCCATGTCCCTGATGGTGTAGTGAGATGCCGTTGATCAAGAAAAAACTATAAATACTCAAATTGAGATTAGTTATTTTTACCTAAAAATTGAGATTAGTTACTATTGCCTAATATTACAAATTAAAGTAATCACTAGCAAAGGTGCTAATAACACATCCCGATAGAATTGATAATTTGGAGCTTATCAAATAAATTTGAATTGAGTTTATTTAGATTATATTTAAAATATCAAAATATGTTAAAAAAGTTCATATAACCAAACATAACGTAAACATCTCGAGTTTATTTAAGCTAGCCTAAATACTCAAATTATTAAATATTATTTTTTTGTTTTTGTATTTTTAGATAATTTTAATTTTTATCTTAAAAAATAAATATTTTTATTTTCTAATCTTATATTAATTTTATTTTATTAATAATATTAGCAATAAAATTCGAGTATTCAAACTATATCGATGTGCGTTTGGGCTCAATCAGCATTTGTGAACTTAGTTACGCGTTGGATGGGATGAAAGGGAAATATGAAAGGATGTGACTGGGCCCACATGATTCCGCCAGAGAGTGGGATGACAGTGAAATATCATGAAGTCGCCTATCACACACTCCCTAAAGGGGGAAAACCAGCAGTTTGAGAGTGGCCATTGCAAATAAATATACTAAAAGTATCTAAGATACCTTTGAGTCCCCCGTGAACAATAACAATCTCTATTAACGAGAGTTCATATTAATTCAATAGAAGGTGGTAATATTTTTAAAAAATATATGACCAAATATAAAAAATAAAAACAAAGAAAGAGAAAAGGTGGGTATGACCAAATTAGAGGTGAGTTGATCTTTTCATCACTTAGTACTCATCAAGATGATAAGATATGGATTATCAAGAAATTTAAAAAAAAATATAAAAGTGCATTTTTGTCTTGAAGTATTTTTTAAAGAGAACCTAGTATTTTAACATTTTTATTGAAGCAATTTTATCTATAAAGTTACGAAAAAGAAGCATTTTTGCCTCTTCTAAAATTTTCAATATTGACCTCAAAGATTGACTATTAAAAAATTTGATAGAAAGGATAAAAATACTCTATTTTAATAATTTTAAGGTAAAATTATTCCAACAACAATATTAGGATGATAGGTATTCTTTAGAAAATACTTCAAATGAAAAAATGCATCTTAACCCTTTAAAAAAATTAATTTTACATTTTTATCTTATATTTTTAAAAATAAAAATCTATAAAAATTATAAAAAATTAATAAATTTTTTTACAACCAATCTGATCCAAATTTAATTTAGGTTATCTAATTTAATATTAAAATTTTTTATAATTTATATATATTAATTATTTAAATATACTTTGAATTGTGAAGATTTATGGAAATTTGGTAGGCCCAGAGCAGAGGCATCCTCCTTCCTTCCTTTGTCACAAACAAGAGAATCCATATCGACAATGTTCTGTTCACGACAATTACTCTTTCCCACTCCCCTTGTCTTCTTCCTCCCTTCCCCTTGTCTTCTTTCCTTCTCGGAATTTGTGTTTGATTCTCTTCCTTCCTTCCTTTTAGCTTTTTACTATAGTTTTTCCCCAAACCAATTGCTCTCACTTTCTTGGCCTCTGATCAATACACAAGTTTTTTTTTCATTCCCAAGCAAGCAACAGATTGAGCCACGCTAGCATGAAATTTCCTGGCAAAAGTTCTGTGTTGTCACTGCCCATTATCTCAATTCTACAAAACTTTACTACAATTTTGTGAGTGCCTGTGCTGTTTTTATATTATATATGAAAATAATATAATGTGATTTTTATCATTAATAAAAATTAATTAAAAAATAATAGAAAATAACCTTAAAAGTTATATAAAAAGAGATAAAAAAATTACATATAAGGACTTCAAAATTACAAAAAAATGGATCAAGAAAATTTTATTGATCCTTTTTTAAAATTTTCAAGATATTTTTTATCATTTTTTGATCAATTAATGATTAAAATTATTTTGTTAATCGTAACAGTTAAATTGTATTGTTTTTAAAATTTAAAAGAGAATATTACATAAAAAATAAGTTTAAACTGCCAAACTTTTATATACATATAATTTATGAGCCAATTTACTCTTTTATCCTTAAAATTATGAAAATTAACAACTAAGATGCTTTTGGCTTAACCAAACAGAAGATCATTTTCCTTTCTATGATGACTGAAAAAGTTATTTTTTGGAAAAAGAGACTAGCACTTGATTCTCCGATACAAAATTTTCAAGCCTCACCACCCAGAAAATTTCTAATTGTATTTCAATTCAAGTAAGAACTCATCATCATAAAGTGTATATGGTAATAATTAACTAATGGACACCCTCTTGATAAAACTACATCTCAATTTGAAGCAAACTCTGATCAGATCCCCATATAATAGCATGTTTCAATTGAAATGTTGCAGCTCTAACCATGGCCAGAACCCAGACTGATCATCGATCCCACAGAACATATTGCTCAAATTATTATTCTCTTCTTTCACCATCTGATCTACCTTCTGACACTGAAGCTCTGGTCTTGAACAAGCTTGAAAGAGCTGCTGCTGGTGAGCCACTCCTCCTGAAGAAGGTGGCCTAACAGAAGCAGAAGAAGATGGAAATAAGGTTATGCTAGTTTGATTATGTGTTGAAAGATCAGGACTATCAATAGCAGTTGTTCTTGTTATATCAAACTTAATCTCTGAGCTGTTCTCACTTCTGTTGCTGCAAGATCCCTCTGTTTCCTTGTTCAGGTTGATAGATTCAGTTGGTTCTCTGTTCTTCAATGCAAATATCTGCACAAGTTTCAGTCAAAAAAGGCAACTTTTGTTAAAAAAAAGGGTTGGGGGGGGGGGGGCGTTCAAAAAAGCTTCTATCATAATTACAACACTAACCTCAGCTTGGAGTTTTTGGTTTTGAGCTTGAAGAGAATCATTGTCTGCTTTAAGAGCATCATATTGTCTTTTAAGAACATCATAGTCTTTCTCAAGCTGCTTTGTCTTCCACCTGGCTCTTCTGTTCTGGAACCATATCGCAATCTGTCTGGGTTGCAATCCTAGAGCTCTTGCAAGCTGCATTTTCCTCTCTGGTTCAAGCTTGTTTCCAAGCTCGAAGCTTTTCTCAAGTGTCTTAACCTGTTCCATGTTTAGCCTCCTCTTCTTCTCCCCCGCCTGAGACCCGTCATCAGACAAGTCTTCGTCACCATTATTATTATTAGCTTCTTCACCCATCAGCTCGATTCCTGAAAATGACATGCATCTCTTACCAAGAAATGAAGGCCCCCCTGCAAATACCAACACTTCAGATTGAAACCGCGGGTTACAGTGAGAGAGAGAGAGAGAGAGAGAGAGAGAGTACCATGATGATGATAATCCTGTGGAGCACATGAAGGAAGGAGAGAGTTGAGAGAAGGAGGAGGTTGGTGGTGGTGGCGGTGATGATCCTCTGGGTGAGAGGTTTGAAGCATGAAATTTGCAGGGAAGAAAGCCATCTTATAGCTAGTCTCGTCAAGCGCTCATGGCCTTGTAGAGATCAGTGAGAAGATCAGAAGAAGATCCCTAGACTTGTCATAAAAGAAGGAAGAAACAGAATAGGGACCAAGTTCTTCTCTACTAAATTAGTGTTTCTTCAATCAGAAAGAGTGGAAAATTTGTTGTGAAGGAGGATGGCTTTTATACCTTATTAGTTTTCTCTAATGTGAGTATTGAAAACGAAAAATGAAGCTGGGAGGAAGAAGGGGAAGGAGTAGTAAGAGAGAGATCTTTCAATCTATAGTTCTGCTAGGCTCAGGCTTCCCTTTATATATCATTATTTTTTGTAGGGTTAAAATGCAGAAATATTCAAAAGTTTTTAAATTTTTTTTTCAAAAACTTTTAATATCCTTAAGTTAGTAAGTATCTATTAATTAATTTTATAAAAGAGATAAATATTTTTCAATTTATTTTAAATTCTATTCGGCCTCTTTTATAAAAGTAATTGATGAGTACCAATATACTATTGTTGACTTATAAAAAATACTAGAAGCTACTGGGAAAAAAAAAATTATGAGTATTTTTACACTTCAACCTTTTTTTTTTATTATCCATGTAAAATTAAAAAGATGCTCCACAATTACTTATATTTTATAAAATGAAAAGAAAGAAAGAAAGAAAGAAAAGAAATTTGTTGAGCATTTGAGCAAATTAAAGAAAAAAGACAGGCAATCAAGTAGTTAGAAGTTAAAATGACAGAAGGAAAAGAAAAGGAGGACAGAGTGGAGAAAGCTAGCTTCTCTGAATCAACACGTTCAATATTATTCTTTTGTGTGTGTGAGTGAGAGAGTGCATGTGTAATAAGGCCATGCATTATTAGTTGTAATTATTTTCCTGATGATAAACTTATATTTTCTCTCTTAGGAGACAAGTAGTGGGTTTTCCTCACTAAAGACAGTTGTCTTTCAATGTAATGATAGCATTGGCATTGCAACTAAACACTTTATTTCATGCTCTTGATTCCATTAATGGAAGATATCAGATCTTATTATGATTCTCTGTAGAGAAGAAAGTGACTTCTATTGACATTCACTAATTTTCTTTTTCTTTTTTCATTATTATGAAGCTTTGAGCTCAAAATGACGTTATTTAAAGGGTGTTCAATGTTTTACTGCTCAACTTAATTGTGGTAGAGCCAATGATGATATAGGAAATCTCACTAAGAGGTCCCAAAGAAGGAATTTAATTTTTTAAAAAGTTCTATGAAATGCAAAAATTAATTTTTAATCCCACAAATTTTAATCATAAATAAGTTTTAGTGTACATTTACTGAAATGCCCTTATTTAAAAAAATAAAAATCTCCTCATACTCATTTTGGTAAGAATATTTCGGTAAATGTATTCTAAAACTTACTTACAATTAGGACTGATGAGACTTCAAAATTATTTTCACACTTCATGAGGGGACTTTTTGAAAATTAAATACTTTCTATTGGACCTTTTAGTGAATTTTCCTAATTATATAAACGCATAAACAAAACCCATGAGACGCGGGGAGCTGTGGTCTGCGAACTTTGAATCAAATCGTTTAATTGAATCAATAAATTATTAAATTAGTATCCTTAGTTTAATAAAATGCTTTATTTATAATTAATTTAATTATAATTTGAATACGATTTCAAATATTAATCTTTAAACTACTACTTTACTTTAATTGATTCAATGATGAATCTGATTTAGTGTGTGAGGCAATATTTTATTTATTTTTTATTTGTTATTATATGTTGGGGCATTTTGTGAAGGAAAGAGAGGTTACTTCAGAAAAAAGAGAAATCAGTTGGCCACATTTAACTTTAAGTCCTAATTGGATTGAGAGAGAGAAGGAGGAATCTAAGGCGAGATGGGGCCAATGTGGAGTGAGGGACAGGGGTTGCTACCTAACCCACCAACAGGTATCATGCATTACGACGAAGCTCTTTGCCATCAACCATTATCCCTTTCTATCCATTTCAGCATATGGTAAAAATCACAAGACCCATCAATATCCAGTAAAAGTAATTTCATAATCTTTGATTAGGCATTATAACTTCATAACATGTAAGCTCTCCTTAAAAATAAGAGGTTGTAAGTTCGATCTACTCCTTCAATTAAAACAGAATCTTTAATTAAGATTATTAATTCAAATCTCATTACCAAAACAAACTGCACTTTTGTGGCTTGACTCTAAAATTTATGATTTTGAATTTGATCCAAATTCAAATATACTCTATTTTTTATAATTCTTTTATAATTTTAAATTTATTTATATCCTAATTATTAAATATTTTAATCACTACAATTCACTTGTTCTCTATCTATCACTCTCACCTATTTTCTCATTTCTCTTTCTTATCTTTCGTCCAATAAAAAAGAAAAGATAATTTTGTCATTCTCAATTTTTCATTTTCACTTTGAATCTTAACTTATATATCTCCTTTCTTTGAAATTTTTTACACTATCTATATAAAAATTTTAAATCTAAATATACCAATTCAAAAGCAACTTTTATATTACCTATTTAGGAGCAGGTTATACCCAACAAATTGATTATGAGGCCAGTAGCCGTCAAAATAACTTGAAACTGTTTGAAACTTTAATAAAATGATATTTCAAAAATTTGATTGTAAACTTATAAAGAAAAATTAATCTGCAAGTTCTTGTAATTTGTTTCAATTTAAATTAGGTCTTTGTAATTTATTTTTTTAATCAAGCCTTTATAGTTTGATGTGTTAAATTTTTTAATCATGAAATGTTAAAATCCGTAAATTTTCCTTTAAAAAATGAAATTAATAAATTTTATTATTAAAATATTATATGAATTTATAATTAATTACATAATTTTTATAAATCAAAATGTATATACTTAAGTTATGTCTTCTAAACTAAAGATGTAAACAATTTATTAAAACAATATTTTCCTTCTTTTACCCAAAAATATTCCATCAAATTTTTATAAATTTCAACATTTTTTTTTGAAAAGTTAATTATTCATTAATAATTTTATCCTTCAAGGATCAACATATCAAATGGATCTCAAATTATAAGGAGTCAACTAAAACAAAATAAACTTTTAGGTAGTATGATTGATGAATTTATATTTTTAGATTCAAAATCTTGTATTTTAAATCTCACATTGGAATTCATGCTTTTAAAATCCTTTGTTTGGTATTTTAAAAAATTTCAAATAAAGAAGATAATTAAATTAATATTCAAAATGAAAATAAAAATTAGAAATGATAAATATAATTTGCAATGAATTTGGATTTAAATGAAATCAAAATTTATAAATTTTTTTATATCCAAATGAGGAATTCAGTCCAAATCTTAACCCAAATTTTCAGTAATCCAAATACTTCAATAATAACCATTCAAAATCTCCACTTGAATTTTTTTATCGGGTCTTTCACCTTTGGCGTCAACGTTCCGAAGTCGTGTCCCTGCTTACAACATGTCAAATAGAATACAATATTAAACGACTAGGATATCAATATGTCAAGTCAACGGAAAGAAGGTAGAACACAACTTATAGAAACATTTAGTAGCATTGATTTTTAGGTCATTGAATTTGGATTTAAATTTAAGGTTTAAATATTATATTTAAAGCAGAATCTTATATTTAAAATTCATATATTTAAAAATTTAAATTCCAAAATAATGAAAACAGGGGATAGGAAATGAAAAAAGCAAAAAAAAAAAGGATTAGATCACAGTTAATTTTAAATAACTAGGATATTTGAAAGTCGGATTAAGGTTTATTTTTGCTCGTAAATTATTTTCCTTGAAGTACCAAGTCTTCTAAACTTTTTGTCATAACAATGTTATCCTTAAAGTAATTAAATTGTAGAAAAGTTGTAATTAATATTAAATAGGCAAATATTAACTGCTAACTTAGCTGACTCATATTAAACATTAGAATAACATTTCTACAATTTAATTATTTCAAATTATTTCAAGGATAACACTTCTATGATTTAAGTCAAACTTATTTTTGAATTAGTAAAGTTAACCTTCAACATTTTCCCATTTAATGCCAAAAGCAATATTGTTATGATTTTAATTACTTCAAGAGCAACATTGTTATGACAAAGAGTTAATTAGGATACTTGGTTTGCTCCAACAAAATAGTTCAATAATTAATAAAAATGGACTTTAATCCTTTGAAAAGTACAAAATAATTATAATAAAATATAGATTTTAATTTGAACAAATCCAAGTTCATAAGCTTTTTATGGATCTAAATAGTATATTTGACCTAAATTTAAATCTAAATCTAAATACCTTTACATCCAAACATATCATTAGAGTTTTCTCTTATATTTGAAACTTGATCGCCAAAATTCAAAATATGAATTTATTTGTATTACTTGATGATTGCAAATTATTTGTGGGAAAAAACTAAAATGAAAATATTTCTCGAGATCAAAAACCAAACATAACACCTTGCAAGCATTAGGCAAAAATCACCATTAATGCATGAGGGTGTTAGTACTTAGTGTAATATAATTAACCTGTCAAGTCTTATCAATCTATTTGTTATTTAAATTATATTTCTTGTTTAAATCACGATGAAGAAGCTAAGCTAGCATTAATCAAGAGATTAGATAGATAACTAATATAATATCATTAATTTAGTCTAAGTTAGACTATCATCTTTAATAACCATTTTGATAAGACGACACAGAAACGTTCAGGAAATCACATTCATCCTTCCAGACTGCAACATGTACCAGTTCTGCTAATACCTGCACCATTCCTTTTACTATATCATTGCCAGATAGGTTCATATATAAAAAGATAAACAGATAAGTCCATTACAATCGAACACGGATATAAATATGTCGCCCACGTTTTTTGATTTCCCCCAATAAAATTGACAATTTTCTTGGTTTAAATGGGTTTTTTTAATACAACACCTCGAATAAATCGTATAAAAGAAAAGTTATCATGTCCTAAGGTTTCTATATTCTGTAGGCGGATTATTGAAGATCATAAGGTCATAAATAGTTGGTATTGTATGCTGGCGAGCAAACAAATAATCAGTGCATTTAATTATTTGCTTAATTATTTGAGTACACTTGATCCAATATGATTGTTCATTTACACATTACAAAAGATCTCGATTTATTGATAGTTTCTGAATGGGGGGTGGCTATTAGAGAAATTATGTTTGAACAAGCAAGAGGGATTCTATGGAGTCAAAATAGATGTTAACTTTGGTAAGCTTGTACCAATAGAATTAAGAC